AAGCTTTGTTTTTAAAGACTAGAAAATATTTTCTGAATCCGCAGGCTGGAAACTGTATCACAAGATCTTCCAATTCTTTCTTTCACTTCCTCCAGTTAGTACTTTTCACGATAAAAGAAACAGTCAACCAAATTAAATGTAGTGGTAGAAAGGTCATATGACAAAGAGATGAAACACTGCAATCATTATTTATTACCAAGATAATCACTGTCCTATATAAAAACATACACCTGCATGCACACACACACATTCTTTCTTAACCTTTTGTTCTTTTAAAATTCCACTCTCTTTCTTCACTTCTTGGTCTTCCTGGTGCAGCCTACCTACATCAGCTTGTCTCCCATGCCCCTCCAAATCTCCTCTGACCCTGCTCCATTCTTCCTTGGGCCCCGGAAGGCTGACCTTGTAGACATCCATCCGCTCCCTTACACTTTGCCTTCTGGTTGGTTCAGTCAGAGGCAGTTCCCAGGCAGAAGACTCGAGGAGAGTGAGGCCCCAGAATTTGTTCCCACAGCCTCTTCCCTGCTAAGGGTCTCAACGACCAGCCAGCATTCCTCCCATGTGGTCCTCTCCTTCAAGCTTCCCTGTCTGGGTCCCAGTGACCACTGCTCCCTTGCTCCTTCAGGCCTGGGGTGTCTGTTCCCTGTCGGACCCTATCTAACCCAGGAGCCTTCCTGAACTGCCTTCTTCTCTGGGTTTATGGATACTGCTCCATCCTCATCTAATTCTGCTTCTCCGACTAGTTCCTCATGGGCGCTGCTTTCACAGCTCTCCAGCAACCTGCATTTCCCTGAGTAACGATGCTCAAGTCTCACCGTGGAGCTTCTTGCTTCATTTAAGGACATGGGGAAGACACAGAAGAGCACTGCTTAGTTATAATCCTACATGCACCCCACCCACAGCCACTGTAGGTGGTGTATTTAGTTTTTTTCTTTAAGAAATCGTTAAATCACTCTTTAAAAAATCATCAAAGTGACACAATCACTACAACTAGTGAAACAGTGTAAAAATATGTACAGAAAAGAAGTAAACGCTCTTCCCCAGTGCTTCTGGGTCCTTCCCCTCACCCCCCACCTTCACCTTGCCTTGCCCCAAGATAAAGAATGTGAACAGCCTGGCCTTTTTCTACACCTGTCCCCACGATATTTTAACCCATGCTAAACATATATCCTCACACGTGGAGAGTGGTGGTACTTGCTGTCCTTTCAAACACAGAGCATGTTTTACATTATTTGGCAACTTGCTGGATAGAGATCTAGTTCAATCCTTTAAATAGCCTCATAATATTACAGAGTATCAAATACTATAATTTATGTGGCCATTTCTCTACTGATGGACACTCAGTTTTGGGTTTTTTTGCAGAGGCTTTGGCCACTATACACGACGCTGCAGTAAGCCACTTTATGCACATATCCTTTCTTGTGCATCTATTCGTGTGACCTAAATTCCTAACATAGGGTTGCTAGTTCAAAGTTACATGTGGTTTCAATTACAATTCCCTTACTTTCTCAAAAGTTTGTAGCAATGTATTTCCTGTCAATTTAAGTCCTGTGTCTGTTTCATAAGAGTACACTACTATATACGTAATTTTTGAACCTTATTGTCTCCCTTAACATGAATTACAGATCATTTCTACGTCCTACATACTTTCTGTCATAATCTTAAATGGCTGGATATAATCATTAATGTTCTGGAGCTTCTTTAAAATTTTATTGGGATTGTATCAAATCTCAATATTAATATAGGGAGAATTAATATCTGCTTCCCATAATACATACCCAAAGAGAAATCAAAGCTTTGATGGTAACATTTGATATAATAAACTCTTTTACAAGTATGCCTCTCAGTCCTTTATCAGCTGACAGTAACTACAGCTTGTGAAGGGCACAAGTGCTGATCAAATGATTCCCAGCATCACGAAGAACTCTGCCTGGGGCATGTGCTTCAGTCACTACCTCCGTGACTTCAAAGGAGAAAGATCATGAGATTGCTGAGGAGCACACTGACCCACTGGGCATTTTCCTGACTATAGAGAGCCAAGTTCCACGTGATTCTTCTGGCATTAAAAGGGTCGATTTCAGATCAAAGCTAAAAGAAGCCCTGAAAAACAGAAGGGAATCTCAGCCTCAAGGACACCGCTATTCAGGTTAGCACAAGTAAAGTCCCTCAGGCTTGAGAAAATAACGCATTCCACCAAGGCTTGGCAACATTCCACAGCAGTTTCCATCCCCAAATAAAATACTATAAAACCAGTTCCAAGGTGGGAGGGTAGGGAGGACCATGAGAAGACAAATCTGGCCACCAACCATTGTTAGCATCTTCTCTGCTTGGTCATGTCACCACCAGACAAGGAATGCCTCTGCATGGATCATGGATTGAAGAGTTAAAAGAAAATTGCAAAGCCAACAGGAGGTGGACCAGCAGCCTCTAGGGGACCTTTGTGCTGTTTCCTGTGTGGATGGTAATGCTGGCTTTCACTGCTTTCCTGTGAGAAAGGAGAAGCGGATTTCACTCTTTCCTGGGAATTCCTACTTGCCCACAGCACTCAAGAGTCTTCCAACTGGAAATGGATCTGATTACTTTTGCCAGACTTAATCTCTTACTTGAGCAGTTAATGAGCACTTTCAATAATCTTAAATCACATCACTCCAATAAAATACCTGGATGTTATTTCCACAGGAAATACGTGTCCACGGACCATCAACTCAACCTGGTTAATAGCTACCGTGGGAAAAAGGTGGGAGTTGAATTCAGATAAAGGGCTACTGTTGGGTAATGGTAAATGAATGGTCCATCCCATGTCTGAGTCGCTGGGGACTATCGGAGGCCTCTGCTGGGATGTGGTGGGAGGAGAAATGAAGTGAAAGGAGGCAGCAGCTGAAAGTAGGAAAATTCTCCCTGTGTGGACCCACCAGAGGCAGGAAGTCATTGAGGGATCCAGAATATGATGAGGACTCATGGACACAGAAAAGGGAGATTGAGGGGAAACAAGGACACAGGATACGGATCAAAGATACTGTCTGGAGGACTCCCTCCCGACATGCATTTCAAAGAGGGACGATGCTAAGAGATAACATCTGGATGTCCTGGAGGAAGGTCCCAGCGAAAGAGAAGTTATCCACGCCAGAAAAAAAACGACTCTCCTTCTCCTATTTCCCCCCTTTCCGGTGCCTTCTTTTATAATGTTAGAAGCACAGGCAGTCTCCCTGCCAAGGAATCCACGTGATTCTAATGACTAGCTCCTGAAAGTGCTACGACGCTCCCAGTGGAAGGCTGGGGACAAAGTAAAGGAAATGGTTCTCAGCAATTGCAGGGAGAGGTCACGGAAAAGGCTGACCATCTGTTAAACTCACCCCTCAGTGAGGTTCAAGATCAATGATCATAGAACTGAATGTCCTCAGTGTGCCTGCCTTGACCCAGATATCTATAATGAAGCTTTCATAACACCTTTTTTTTTAATAGAAAAAGGACTACAAAATAAAAAGATAATCCTAAATCAGGCAAAAAGAGATTGACTAAAGCTCAGTGTATTTAATGCACAGTTCCTGGAGGAGCAGTACACCCAATCCTAAGATTTGGTGTTGTTTCTAAAAAGAGCCTTTGGAGTTGAGGCAGCTCCTGCAGGCCCACGCCTCCAGAAGTCTCTATCTATTAATTGCAGAGAGCTTTCTTTCCAAGTGTTTCCAAGGCCCCAGTATTCACAGGGAGAAACGATTTTCATCACTACGGTTCTATGATATATGATACAAAATCTACAATTCTGTGACTTTCCTGGGGAAGCAGTTTGGTTGTATTAAGAAAGCAGCAAATCTCATCAAACCAACATCAATATATTACCAACACAAAATGAAAAGCGTTCACCACATTTTTAAAGAACCACCTTCTGGATCAACGATTTAGAGAAATTTATAAGATGTCAAGAGTTCACAATGAACAGAAGCTTTTGAAATTCCTCTTTCCTAGACAGATATTTTTAATCTCAAAAATTACATACGAAGCTCTCTCTAACCTTTAGAGATGACATATCATATTACGAGCCTAGACAAAGCATTGACCATGTGCTGTGAAAGGACCACTGAAAGAGAACCTATCACCTACACAGTGGCATACAAGACCCTGAGCATCTGGCCGCACCGGCGGGGAAAATGTAGTGAATACCGGGGACGCACTTCTTATACGCTGTCTTTTTTGATCCCACTTGTAAAACTGCCAAAATTACTGCCATGTAAAATTTGAAATCACATTAAACATACAAGCCAAATTAGCTCTTTAGCATCTTTTGCATAAGACATGATGTTATATCAGTCACAGTAGAAACCCGTAAATAAAACATAACTTCAGAATAAACATCACTTTGTGCTTGTTTGGGAAATTTTTTAAAAAACAGCATTAAGGACAAAAAAGAAAATCTGAGCCCAGTTTCTTCTGGTTGAAAAAAAAAAGGTTTTGGCATACAATAATGATGCTTCTAAAAGTGATCACTGAGAAAGCCAAAACCAAAACCAAAACCCTCTAACAACAGACAGATGAGCAGAGACACAGCATGTTTTGCTCTGCGGCTCATAGAATCCCAACAAATCCAAGCTACCCCAGCAGCACAAACAGCAGAATTTAGGTCAAGGGGCCAATTAGTATCAAAGGCAGCCACAAGTTGCTCCTTCTCTTTGCCCCATCCTGTTTCCTTTGAGAGTTCTGTGGTAAGCAACCATAGAGGCAGCTTTAGAACACTCCAAAAGAAAAACGAAAAAAAAGCATTTATAGACTACTACTCCAGGAAGCAACTACAACCCTGACCCCGGCAGTTAGTAGCATCCTCCCATCTCCACACTCCTTCATACCCCTCCCAGACCCCTTCCAGTTGTCCCATTACAAGGTGAATTGACTGACAGGCCAGGAGTTCCAATTCAGCATTAACTGGCCAGTCTCTGACCAGCACAAGCGGATTGATGGTTTGTGGGTCACCCAAGAACACATGCAAAGCATTTTAAACAGGGACTAACCTGGAGGTGACCGGTGCCGGGGCTGAGCTGTGGTCTTCCTGGGCCCCAAGGTCTTATCCAGAGGTTCCCCAGGCACCAACCGAGGTTGGCCCACTCTGAGGGAGGTCGAGCTGGCTCCTTCGGTCTCCGTGACCCCCTTTGCAGAGGACGGTGGCTCCAAGGTGTCAGCAGAGGGGGACCCAGAGAAAGCACCACTCTTCCTCCCCAGAGAGTCATCAAGAGTGGCTTCCCTCTCCCCTGGTGGTGAAGGCAGCCGGAGGATCCTGTGATGCTGCTGAGGGCTGGACAGCCTGGGAGACAGAGGCGAGGGAACAGGTGACACCCGTTTGTGCGCACTGGATGGGAAGGATGAATTATTAAGCGCCGTGCTGGGAGCTGCCAGGGCTGGGGCGGGCAGCCTCTTCTCATCACCTCCAGGTGGTAAGGAGTTGGGGCCTATGCCATGGGGCAGATCCAGAAACAAGGTTTTGTGGCTACGCAGAAGCAGCCCAGCTCTCCTCCTGTTGCCGGTTTCTTGGAGGGTGTGGGTGGCTGTCGTGCTGCAGGGGAAGCCCAATCTTTTCCCCTCGGTGGCTTCATCTAATTTCTCGCTCTCTATCACCTTCAGGAGGACCTTGTTCACGGCCCCCTCGGTGCCAGCTGGGGGACATTCTTGGGCCGATGGCTGCCAGGACCTGGCCCCTCGCTGCTCCTTGCCCCCCAACCTGGAACCTGCAGCCCCAGCCTCAGCTCCAGGGAAACTGAGCAAGTCTGCACTGGGTATGAACTCGGCTGGGGCTGCCGGGCAAACGGCAATCCTTTTCTTACTGTTGGGATGTGTTTTAACTACTCGTTGCACTGGAGCAGACAGATCCTGAACCCTGGCCACCACTCTGGAAACAGGCTTCTTCCTGCAAGTCCTCTCAGCAGACTTCTCTCTCCTCTCCGGATGCGTCTCAGGCTCCTTGCAGCTTCCAGATGAGCCCATTTGCAGATGTGCCGGCCTGCGGAGACCCCTCTTTGGCCCCCTGGCACCATCATTTCCTGGCTTTGTGGAGCTGCAGTCAGGGGACAGCCCTCCTCTTCCAAGCCCGGCATCTCTGGAAGCCTTCTTGAAGCTCCTCAAGCCAAGGTCGGCATCCAGTGTGCTGGGGTAGCTCTCAATCCTCTGCAGCGAAGAGGTGGGTGCCCCATTTGGGAGCAAGTTCCCTCTCTCCTCTAGGAGCTGAAGATGAGGCCTTGTTCGAGAAAGAGGAAGGAGGTTGCTGGAACAGATCTGGTCCTTCCCCATCTGAGGAGACAACTCCTGGCCCCCAGGCCCCTTTCTTCTTGTCCACTTCTGCGGGGAGCTTTGAGAGAGCACCTCCAAGCTCTCTTTCCTCCCGCCAAACCTCTGAGTCTTTTCGTTCCCGTGGGAGCTCTGCTTATTGAGACAGCCCACGGAGGGCTCCCCGAGCCAGGCGCCGGCACTCTGGAAGTAGTCGTCCTCGGGGGCCAGGCTCACAGACAGCCCCGGCAGCTTCTCCTTCTGGTTCCCAGTCGTAATCCCCAGGATGTGGTCTGAGCTCAGCAGATTGGCCAGCAGTCGCTCCCTTTCAGCTGTGAGTCTGTACAGCTCATTCAGGATGTCTTTTGTGGGAATCTGCTTGAAAAATATGTCGCCTGGATGTTCATTCAGCTGCAGGCTGAGGATACTGATGTCGGACCCCTCCCTGACTTGGTAGCAGTCGTGAAACCCTTTGTTGGATCTGTCTAGGGTCACGGTGCCCTTGTATGAAAATCCTCTGACTTCCCCCCTCGGAAGATGGAAGCTGATGCAGCAGAGTTCGGTAATGGGCTTACGCAATTGGAGGGTGCAGTGAGTGCCTTCCATTATGCCTACCTAATTATTCATGCCTCGGAGATGCTGGTCTGTGGTCAAGCTTCCCAGGCTCCGGCGGTGGGGCATGCGACGGTGGCTCTGCAGGGAAAACAGCTGACAGTCATCTCCAGCAACGAGACTGCCTGTTAGAGGAAGAGGGGAAGAAAGCAGCTTGTCTAACTGAGGGTACAAATCACACCCCGACATAAATCAGAGCATAATCCAGACTTATCCTTCCTCTTCAGCTGACCTCACCCAGCTCAAGGCATCGGCCAGGAGTCTGACTGTCACCTCTTCCTGACTCCCACCCTATCCTGGACTAGCAAAGCTTTTCTACAGCTGAGAATGGGAGAGTGCTCTAATTTTAGCCCTAAGACGAAAGTCCATTTTCCCCATGTAGGAACTCATTATATACCCTAGAGCAGATCCCATTGCTTTTCAAGGCTTCATTTTAGGTTCTTCTATAAAACAGAGCTAACATACCTCCCAGAAAACCTCAGGAAAGGGGACTCTGAGATCCTTAGAAAACAGCCATTTTAATAACTCATGTTTGGAAGACTACTTTGCAAAAATGAGTCAAGCCTTTTTACTCTCCAAAGCAGCACCTTCCAAGATTTGAGATGAATTATCTATTTAACCTACAGCAGTGTGTGTTTGTGTATTTGCGTGTGTGTGTGTGTGTTGTGTGTGCGTGTGTGTGTGTGTGTGTATGTGGTGGGGGAGATATCAGGCCACAAATTTGGTGTCTTTTCTGGACACAATTCATATATTTTGCCAAAAGAGTGGAAAGTAAAAAATTAAAATTTTAAAATTTAAAGAAGTAGCTCCAGAGTCTTAAGTTCTTTTGTTTGTCGGTTTGTTTTCCTACTTCTTGCCTATTTGAAGCCAAATGGAAAGGTAGAGAAAAAAGGAAAAATCTGTAAGCTGCTGCTGGCACTGGTGAAGATTTTCAACGTCTTCACCATCCAATTGGCTGAAATGTCACATAGGCAGTGAAGCTAGCTGCTTCTCATGTGATTTGAAGTATCCCAGGGGTGTCTCTGTGGCTGACAACCTTCCACACAAGCGTGAGCTTAGAATTCTATATTATGACACTTCATGTCTTATATAAAGGCATTGCCCAGACTTCAAGACTTCCAAGCCTTGGGAATTCCCTGGGAAGGGTAAAACAATAACTATGTATTAACCATTGATATCTCAGGTCTTTTCTAACTGGGTCTAAACAGCAAAAAGTTACATAAAAGTATATTTTGAGTAAAGGAAGAGAGGAGGAAGACCTTTTTAATAGAGGCCCCTTAAAGAAGACCAATGAAGATAAGAGTGATTAAATGAAGGTAAAAAAGGAAAAAAAAATGCAAACATCTGGTCAACCCAGAAGTTCCAGAAGGACTCAGGGTACTCACAGAAAGGGTTAGAAGGACATGAAGAGAGGAAACACAGAAGAGATGGGAGGCCAGCAGAGGCCTTGCCTCTTTCACAATTTTCTTCCAGATTATTCTCATTCAACAGTCATATTTCTCAAACTTTTCTAAAATGTTCGTTCCTGGCCTTTCCTAAAGGTGCACATTATAGATACCTAATACTTACCAGTATAAACTCTCAGGATATATCCAATAACTCACTTTGGACGTGGTTTTATAACAACCAGTTATCAAAGCGATTGCACAGCGGCCAATATCCACTATTCATCATTATTCTGAGCATCAAGAGTTCAACTTAGGAACTGTCAGAAAGCTGAAGTGAGGCTGCAGAAGTGCTATTTTAAGTTGCAGAAAGATGGGAGAGGCCTCGTTTTGCCTTTGAGCATCCTTCTCCACTAGTTCTTCTTACCTCCCCAGTTTCCCTGGATTAGGAAAAGTGTGTGATGCAAGAGAAGGGAAGAGTAAAAGTTTTTTATAATCTGTTTAAAGTAGCAGCACAAAGTTGATGCCAAAGTTTCAAATGGAAGTATGAGTGCTTATCCTAAAAGCCTATTCCCTAAGAGAGGGAATTTTTATGTATTGAACATATTTATGTGTACACTTTAATTTTGCTATCTTATTTAATAAACACATCTTTCTTTTACAGATGAAGAGATTGAACTTTAGAGAGATCAAGGATCTTGTCTAAAGGCATACGGCTCAGAAGCAGCAAGTATGAAAGCCAGATCTGCCTCACTCCATGGCTTTGTAGGTAAAGAGGCTCCTCATCTCATGCCTTCTACTGATGAACTAGTTTTCCAAGAAATTTGAATAGAAGAGTTCCTTTGTTTTGCTAGGTTGGTGTTACTTACTTAATTTCTTCAACCATGTCTCACACCTTGCTAACTTTACCACTCATCAGTTAGTTTCAACAAGTCTGATCAGACAAAACACTTCTCTCTAAGGTTGTCCCTTAAACAATATAATCTAGGGCTAGGGTACCAGAAATTCACTGCATCTGTACCTGTCAAATAGAACACAATGAAGATTCCAACACAGAAAATAAAGGGGAAGGCACTCCTATGAAGGCCATTTATTTTGTGAAGATTACAGACCTATAATGCTCTAGTACAGGGTTAAATATTTTTTTCTCCTAGTCTTCATATGTCTTGATTATACACATGGAGAAAATGTCACAGTTAATACTCTGTATGTTAGTCCTGGTTGGGAAACTAAAGTCAAGGTTTAGGAAATTATGAGATTGGATTTCATAGCAATAAAGCCACAATGCAAGGCGTGAAGCTACTGTTAAGGGAAAAAAGACTCCATTTTATTGCCTATTCCACCCAGAAACTTGAATACAGAATGCTTTTTCTGATGCCCATGTCGAAGGCCAAGGAAGGGCAGAACAGAAAGGAAAAAATAAGAAAAAAAGAAAGAAAGAAAGAAACAGGGATTTGCTCCATGTTCTTGGGACCACATTTCCTCTGATCTGGACACTGGGAACAAGAAGTGTGGTAAGAGACTGTACTGAACACAAGCTAAGGAACTTGAACATCCCAGTAACCATGGGGAATCACTGAAGAATCCTAGCAAGGAATGTTGTTTATTTAGATTTGTATTCTAGGACAATCACTCCAGAAACAAAGCAGAGACTAGACCAATAGGGGATAAGACTACGGTTATAGGTCACTAAAAGGCCCTTTCAGTATTTCAGAAAGAAGTGTTAATAGCCAGAACCAAGGCAGTAGTAATATGGATAGAGAAAAGAAAATCAATTTAAGAAGATAGAATTGGTAAGATCCAGTGATTAACTGAATATGTGTAATAGAAAAAACTTTACTTCCACAATTTTAGATATAGGTGATTGGGTAGATTATGATGCCATTCACAAAGATAGGAAATGCAAGAAGAGAAATAAGCTTTGGGAGAAAATGACAAATTCAGTTTTGGAAATTTTGCATTTGAGGTATTAGTGTAATATTCAAGTACACATGTGCAGGAAACTGCTAGATGCAATGGGGTAGAGCTTCTGAAGGAGACATAGACTAGAGTTACACATTTAGGAGTAATCATGTACTATACAAGGAGTTTCAGTTTCAAGTAAGATAAATTAAGCACACTTCATCTTGTCTCTAGCACTGAGTACAGCTTAAAAACTTGGGTAGAATGCAGGGGAACCATTTCTTGAGTACTCTGAAAAGAAAACAGTAGCAAGCCAATTGGTAAAGAAGACCAGACTTTGAAGTGTCACCCAACAGTAAAGCAGTTAAATCTGCCCATTTTTCCCCTCAAATAGCCTCACAGCCTGGGCTCAAACTGGCCTGAAACACAGACACGAGTATCAGAACAAACAGAGAAAGGCCTAGGGGAAAACTTCTAGCTCCAAATCAGGAATAGGAAAAATATCTCCTAACAATGACAGCAGCAGCAGTGGGAGGCTGTCAGCACCTCCAGCTCTAAGAGGGGAGAATGTCCCGCTTTGATCAGAGGAGCTGTAGTCCCAAGACGGTGGGGCAAGCCGCGTTCACTTTTTCTCTCTTTGTTTTGCCTCTGCTTGGCCCCAGATGTTAGCACGGTTGCAGGAAGTTTGCAGCAGAGGTGGGTAAATAAAGTCTCAGCCTTCTGCCTAAAGGACTGAAAGAAGAGTCCCAGAGAGCCTGAAAAATATGGGAGAGATTGTGGAAAAAGAGGAGCTTAGAAAGTGACCCAACTGATTTTCATGAACTCTTGAGTTTACCTCCAAGTCGTGTATGTGTGGACCTGATCCTAAGAAGCAATCAAAGGCTCTGAAAAACAAATTGACAAACAGACCTTAGGACTAAGAGGCAGACCTCCCAGAGTGGCCACTGTGTAGCATATGTGTGAGATAGAGCCAAAGAATTTTGCAAAAGCTCTGAAAATGGAACTGAAATTATAACCACATTGACACAACATTGTAAACTGACTATACTTCAATTAAAAAAAAATATATATATACTAAAAAAAAACCCACAACCAACAGAAGGCTCATTAGAACTTCTGGCCTGAACTAAACCAGGTTGGCTGCCTGACAAGAGGGAAAACAAGACTCAGAGTTTATAATATTTAAAATGTTCAGGATGTAACACCAAACTACTCAGCATACAGAGAACCAGGAAGATCTCAACTCCTATGAGAATACTGATCAATAGATGCCAACTCTGAGATGACATAGATGTTGAATTATCTGACAAAGGCTCAAAGCAGCTTTAATAGAAAAGCTCCAACAAGTAAGAGTTAACACTCTTGAAATGAGTGGAAAGAGAAATTTTCAGCAAAGAAACAAAAGGTATAGGACAGAGTCAAATGGTAATTTTAGAACTTAAAAATATAGTAATGTAATTAAGAAGCCCATTGGATAAGCTCAATAGCAGAATGGAGATGTAAAGGAAAGAGTCTATAAACCTGAAGATAGATCAATAGAAATTACCCAATCTGAACAACAGAGAGAGAGAGAAAGTTGAAACGGTAAGTAATCAGAGCTTCAAGGACGCATGGTATTAAAAAAAAAAAAAAAAGACTAACATTTATGTCACCAGAGTCCTAGAAGGAGAAGAGGAAGAGCCCAGTACAGAAAATATATTTGAAAAGATAATGATTGAAAACTTCCCAAATTTGGTAAAACACATAAACCTACAGATTCAAGAAGCTCAGAGCCCCAAGCAGAATATACCCAAATCAGTCTATTCCAAACCCAACATACTCAAACAGCTAGAAACTAA